GACTTGTAACCTGTAGGTAAAAGCTGCAGAGTGCTGAGCAGTTCTGACTCCCAAAAAGGGCTTGAAGAGGGGCAAACTTTGTGATAAGTAGAAGTTGATCATAGAAAGTAGACTTTGCAGAGTCCTTCTGCAGTTGAAAGTGCACTTTTCATGGCACATTTTCCTCAATGATTTTCCCATTGATCTTAATTGATGGGAAGACAAAACATGAATTTATTCCTCAGAGCAAGCAGTGGGAACTCTGTTAGTTTCCCAGTAAACTCCACTTCTGTACTGGAGCCAGAGTATTCCTTCCAGTTTGTATCTCTCTGAAAGGCAGAGTAAAAAGCACACTTCATATAGGCTTTGATCTGGAAGGCAAATAGGTCAGAGATTTTGCTCAGCAGTTCCTAATCCCAAAAATTATTTGAAGATCTGTCAACTTTGTGATAAGTAGAAGTTGATGTTAGAAAGAAAATGCAATTTGCAGGGTTCTTCTGTGGTTTAAACTGCACTTTTGAAGGAACATTTTTCCTGAGTGATTTTCACATTGATCTCAAAGGATGGGATGAAAATACTTTCAGTTATACATCTTAGAAAGCAGCTGGAGCTCTTCTTGTTTCCCAGTAAACTCTAATTCTGTAGTGGAACCAAAGAGTATTCCTGCTAGTTTGTAGTTCTCTCTATGGCAGAGTGGAAAGCACATTTCTCAGTGGCTTGTTTCCTGAAGGTAATTAGGCCACATAGAGTGCTGAGGAGTTCTGACTCCCAAAAAGGGCTTATTGAGGGGTAAATTTAGACTTAAGTAGAAATTGATGTTAGAAAGCAAAAGCACATTTCAGAGTCCTTCTGCAGATTAAACTGCACTTTTGATGGCAATATATTTCTTGAGCAATTTTCCCATTTATCTCAATGGATAGGAAGACAAAACTTGCAGTTATTCCTCAGAGCAAGCACCTGGAACTCTGTTAGTTTCCCAGTAATCTCCATATCCATAGTGGAACCAAAGAGATTCTTTCTAATTTATAGCTCTCTGAAAGGCATAGTGAGAAGCACATTTCACACAGTCTTCTATAAGGATGGAAAATAGGCCGGAGGGAGAGCTGATAAGTTCTGACTCCCAAAGAAGTCCTGGAGACCTGTAAACTTTGTGATTAGCATAAGTGAAAGAACAAAATCAAACACACCTTGCAGAGTCATTCTTCAGTTTAAAATGCCCTTTTTTTTCTTCTCTTTTATTGAGTTTATTGGTACATTTAAGGTATACAATACAATTAAATTCACTATTGGGATCTTGTACCTTCACATGACAGGTCTTGGTTCTCATTTTTTTTCTCCTTGTCTGTTCCCTGCCTTCACCTCCTCCTCCCCTCCCCATTTGCAAACACTTTATTTGCATTTTTTCATTTTATCATATATTTCCTTTTCCCTTATTACCTTTCTCTTAAACTTCTCATTATCCCTCCCATTTTCTCAAAACCTTTAGAGCTTTTCTTCCTATTTCACAGTGATTTATGGGCACCCATTTTTATAGCAACATGTTTTGTAATAGCTCAATATTGGAACAGCCCATTTGCCCATCAGTTGGAAATTGGAAAAAGAAGATGTGGCTTTTCTATAAAATGGAATACTACTCAGCCATAAAAAATGAGAAATTAGATTCTTTCATAGGAAAGTGGGTACACATTGAGGATATACTCCAAACTGCACTTTTGACAGCAATATTTTTCCTGAGCGATTTTCCCATTGATCTTAAAGGACAGGAAGGAAAAATGTGCAATTATTCCTCAGAGCAAGCAGCTGGAACTCTGTTAGTTTCCCAGTAAAGTCAACTTCTCAAGTGGAACCAAAGTGTATTCCATCTAGTGTGAAGCTCTCTTCAAGGAAGAGTGAGAAGCACACTTCACAAAGGCTTCTGTTAGGAAGGTAAATAGGCCACAGAGACTCCTCCACAGTTCTGACTCCCAAATAGGTCTTGGAGATCTGTAAACTCTGTGATAAGTAGAAGTTCATGTTGGAAATCAAAGTCACTTACAGCGTTCTTCTGTGGTTAAACTGCACTTTTGATGGCACCATTCATCCTGAGTGATTTTCCCATTGATCTCAATGGGCTGGAAGACAAAATGTGCAGTTATTCCTCAGAGCAAGCAGATGGAACTCTGTTATTTTCCCAGTATACTTCACTTTGGTAGTGGTAACAAAGTGTATTACTTCTAGTCTGTAGCAGAGTGAGAAGCACATTTCTCAGAGGCTTGTAACCTTTACGTAAAAAGGCCACTGATAGTGCTGAGCAGTTCCGACTTACAGAAAGGGCTTGGAGAGGGGTAAACTTTGTGACAAGTAGAAGTTGATGTTAGAAAGCAAATGCACTTTGAAGAGTCCTTCTGTAGTTGAAAGTGCACTTTTCTCTGCAACATTTTCCTGAGTGATTTTCCCATTGATCTCAATGGATGGGAAGACAAAACATGTATTTATTCCTCAGAGCAAGCAGCAGGAACTCTGTTAGTTTTCCAGTAAATTCCACTTTTGTAGTGGAGCCAAAGAGTATTTCTTCTAGTTTGTAGCTCTCTGAAATGTAGAGTGAGAAGCACATTTCATATAGGCTTTGATCAGGAAGGCAAATAGGCCACAGAGAGTGCTGAGCAGTTCCGACTCTGAAAAATGGATTGGAGATCTCTAACCTTTGTGATAAGTAGAAGTTCATGTCAAAAAGAAAATGCAATTTGCAGAGTCCTTCTGTGGTTCAAACTGCCCTTTTGGAGGCAACATTTTTCCTGACTGAATTTCACATTGATCTCAAAGGATGTGAAGGAAAAACGTGGAGTTATTCCTGTGAGATTGTAGCTGGAACACTGCTTGTTTCCCAGTAAATTCACTTCTGTAGTGGAACCAAAGAGCATTCGTGCTACTTTGTAGTTCTATGTATGGCAGAGTGAGAAGCACATTTCTCAGTGGCTTGTATCCTGAAGGTAAATAGGCCACATAGAATGCTGAGCAGTTCTGACTCCCCAAAAGGGCTTAGGGAGGGGTAAACTTCCAGATAAGTAAAAATTGACATTAAAAAGCAAATGTACTTTGCGGACCCCTTCTGCAGAATGCACATCTCTTTTGATGGCAACATATTTCTTTAGTAATTTTCCCATTTATCTCAATGGATAGGAAGACAAAACTTGCAGTTATTCCTCAGAGCAAGCACCTGGAACTCTGTTAGTTTCCCAGTAATCTCCAATTCCGTATTAGAACCAAAGAGTATTCCTTCTAGTTTATAGCTCTCTGAAAGGCATAGTGAGAAGCACATTTTTCACAGGTTTCTATAAGGAAGGCAAACAGGCTGGAGAGAATGCTAATTAGTTCCAACTCCCAAAAAGGGCCTTGAGACCTGTAAATTTTGTGATAAGCATAAGTGGATGAAACAAATCAAATGAACTTTGCAGAGTCATTCTTTGGTTTAAACTGCACTTTTGATGGCCACATTTTTCAGGAATGATTTTCCCTTTGATTTCAATGGATAGGAATACAAATCATGCAGTTATTCGACTGAGTAAGCAGCTGGAACTCTGTTAGTTTCCCAGTAAACTCCACTTCTTCAGGGGACCTGACAAGTATTCTTCTAGTTGGTATCTCTCTGTTAGGCAGAGGAATAAGCATGTTTCTCATGGGCTTCTATCCGCAGAGTAAATAGGCTGCAGAGAGTGCTCAGCACTTACAACTCTCACAAAGGTGTTGCAGATCTCTAAACTTTGTAATAAGAAGAAGTTGATGTGAGTAAGCAAACACTCTTTTCAGAGTCCTTCTGTGGTTTAAACTGCACGTTTGACAGCAACATTTTTCCTGAGCATTTTCCCCATTGTTCTCTAAGGATGAGAAGACAAAATGTGCAGTTATTCCTCCAAGCAAGCAGCTGGAAATCTGTTAGTTTTCCAGTAAACTCCACTTCTGCAGTGGAGCCAAAGAGTATTCCTTTTAGTTTGTAGCTCTTAGAAAGGCAGAGTGAGAAGCACATTTCTTACAGGACTCTTTAAGGAACATAAATAGACTGCAGAGAGTGCTCAGCACTTTGGATTTCCCAAAAAGGATGGAAGATCTGTAAACTTTGTGCTAAGTAGAAGTTGATGTTAGAATGCAAACGCACTTAACAGAGTCCTTCTGTGGTTTAAATGGCACTTTTGATGACAACATTTTTTTCTAAGCAATTTTCCCTTTGATCTCAAAGGACAGTAAGACAAAATGTGCAATTATTCCTCTGAGAAAGCAGCTGGAACTCTGCTTCTTTCCCAGTAAACTCCACTTCTGTAGTGGAACCAAAGAGTATTCTTGCTAGATTTTAGTTCTCTGTATGGCAGAGTGAGAAGCACATGTCTCAGTGGTTTGTACCCTGCATAGAGTTCTGATTAGTTCTAACAAAAAGGTCATGGAAATCTGTAAAGTTTTTGGTAAGTAGATATTGATGATTGAAATCAAACGTAACTTGTAGTGTCATTCTGTAGTTTAAATGGCTCATTTGATGGCAACATTTATCCAGAGTTATTTTCCCATTGATCTCAAAGAATGGGTAGACAAAACACGTAGTTATTCCTCATAGCAAGAAGCTGGGACTCTGTTAGTTACCCGGTAAACTCCACCTCTGAGGAGCAGCCAGAGAGTATTCATTCTATTATGTAGCACTCTGTAAGACAGAGTGAGAAAAATATTTCCCAGAAGCTTATATTCTGAAGGTACATAGGCCACTTAGACTGAAGTGGGATTGTGACTCACAAAAAGGGCTTGGAGATCTGTAAACTTTGTGATAAGTAGAAGTTGATGTTATCAAGCAAATGTACTTTGCAGAGTCATTTTTTGCAATGAACAGCTCTTTATTTTACTTTTTTTATTTTTCCATCTTTTAATCCAAAACAGTATACATATACATGTATATATATGAATATTCAAAGATTGATATAACAATGGTAAAACATAACAGCAACATAAATGTGTAAAAGTCAACTTCCATCAAGCTAATACAAATAGGACAACATTAATACTCAAAATGTATCAATAAGCTCCTTAAAATAGTGGAAAACAACTTCTTTATCACCCTGGATCATTTTCTGAGAATGGGACTTTTGTTCTTCTAGGTTTTCAATAAGATGAGTAATATCTGTCTAGTGTGTGTCAGTTAACTGTTTCAGCAGTTTCTGAGCTGTGTCCTTTTCTTTCAGATAGGCACTTTGAAGATCATCTATAGGATGACCATGATGTTGCACTACAGTAAGGCAATGACCACAAACTAACTTTTTGTCTAGTAGACAGCAGACATTTAGAGGTTGCCTATAATGTTCAGGGCAGAAAACAACATCTGAATGGTCTTCTTGCTGGTACTTTTCAATAATAGCCCTTAATGCAAAATTAACTGGTAAAGATTCAATACCAGTTGGAGCAATTTCAATAATACTTCTGAAATTAGGGCACTTGAGTGGAATTCTTAAAGGTCTCCATTTATAAAAATTGCCAGATGCCTGAAGAGCATTTTCCAAACAACTTCTACAAAATGTATGACAGCATGGTAGTACACAAGGATCTTCAAAATTACTGTAACAAATGGGACAAATTAACTCGTCCTCAAAATTGTGCATTTCCTGAGATGAGGACCATTACCCTGGGTTCCTGATGAGTGATCTCCATGGGTGCTGATGACCCTGGGCATCATCAATCCTCTGTAGCCAACCTAACGGCTCTGCAGAGTCCTGTAAGACACTGTTCCTTCCCCCTCAGGGAGGTTTCCTCTCTCCCCACGCTTTCCCTGCCCTCACAGGAGGGCTCCCAGCTGAAGAAGGGGAAGGGACGCAAGTGCATTCTGGAGTCCACAGGCTCCACCACCAAGCCCCAGAGACTCCCAAAAGCCTGAGCAGCTCTTTTGATGGCAACTTTCTGCTGAGTGATTTTCCCATTGATCTCAATGGATGGGAAAACAAAATGTGCAGTTATTCATCTAAGCAAGTAGCTGAAACTCTGTTAGTTTCCAGGAAAATTGCACTTCTATAGTGGAACCAAAGAGTATTCCTTCTAGTTTGTAGCTCTCTGTATCTCATAGAGAGAAGCACATTTCTCAGAGGCTTTTATCCGGCAGGTGAATGGGCCACAGACTGCTGAGCAGTTTCTCCTCCCAAAAAGGGCTTGGCGATTTGTTAACTTTGTGATAAGTAGCAGTAGATGTTAGAAATCAAACACATTTTGCAGATTCCTTCTGTGGTTGAAACTGCACTTTTCACAGCCAATTTTCCTGAGTGATATTCCCATTGATCTCAAATAATGGCAAGGCAAGATGTGCAGTTATTCCTCAGAGCAAACAACTGGAACCCTGTTAGTTTCCCAGTAAACTCCACTTCTATAGTGGAGCCAAAGAGTATTCCTTCAAGTTTGTAACTCTCTGAAAGGCAGAGTGAGAGGCACATTTTACACACACTTTGAACAGGAAGGCAAATAAGTCAGGGAGATTGTTGAGTAGTTCTGAATTTCCAAAATGGCTTGGAGATCTGTATATTTTGTGATAAGTAGAAGTTGATATTGGAATGAAAATGCACTTTGCAGAGTGCTTCTGTGGTTGAAACTGCAATTTTGACTGCAGCATTTTTCATGAGTGATTTTCACATTAATCTCAAAGGACAGGAAGACAAAATGTGCAGTTCTTCCTCTGAGAAAGCAGCTGCAACCCTGCTTGTTTTCCATTAAACTCAACTTCTGTAGTGGAACCAAAGAGTATTCCTACTAGTTTGTAGTTCTCTGTATGGCAGAGTGAGAAGCACGTTTCTCAGCGGCTTGTATCCTCAAGGTAAATAGGCCTCATAGAATGCTCATTAGTTCAAACTCCCATAAAGGGCTTGGAGATCTGTAAACTTTGTGATCATTAGAAGTTGATGATCAAAATAAAATGCACTTTTACGCAGTCATTCTTCAGTTTAAACTGCACTTTTGATGGCAACACTTTTCTGGAGTGATTTTCCCTTTGACTCAATGGACCCAAATACAAAATGTGTAGTTATTCCTCAGAGGAAGCAGGTGGAACTCTATTAGTTTCTCAGTAAACTCCACTTGTGTAGGGGAACCAAAGTGTATTCCTTCTAGTTTGTATCTCTGTGCATGGCATAGAGAAAGGAACATTTCTCAGAGGCTTGTATCCTGAAGGGAAATAGGCCACAGATTTCTGAGCAGTTCCAACTCCCCAAAAAGGCTTGGAGATCTGTAAACTTTGTGATAAGTAGAAGTAGATGTTAGCAAGCAAATGCGCTTTGCAGAGTCCTGCTGGGTAATGAATAGCTCTTTTGATGGCAACTTTTTTCCTGAGTGATTATCCCTTTGATATTAGTGAATGGGAAGGCAAAACTTTCAGTTATTCTTCAGAGCAAGCAGCTGGAACTCTGTTAGTTTTCCAGTAAACTCCACTTCTGTAGGGGAACCAAAAAGTATTCCTTCTAGATTGTAGCTCTCTGTAAAGTAGAGAGAAGAACATTTCTCAAAGGACTGTATTCTGAAGGGAAATAGGACACAGAGTGCTGTGCAGTTCCAACTTCCAAAAAGGACTTGGAGATCTGTAAACTTTGTGATAAGTTGAACTTGATGTTTGAAATCAAACACACCTTGCAGAGTCCTTCTGCAGATTAAACAGCACTTTGCACGCCAACATTTTTCAAGAGTGATTTTTCCCATTGATCTCAATGGATGGGAATGTAAAATGTGCAGGCCTTCCTCAGAGAAAGCAGGTGGAACTCTGTTAGTTTCCTGGTAAACTCCACTTCTTTAGTTGAACAAAAGAGTATTCCTTTTAGTTTGTAGCTCCTTGTGTGGCATAGAGGGAAGCACATTTCTCAGAGGCTTGAATCTTTCACATAAATAGTCCACAGATTGCTGAGCAGTTCCAATTCCCAAAAGGGGCTTGGTGATCTGTAAAATTTGTGATAAATAGAAGTTGATGTTCGAAATTAAACCCACCTTGCAGAGTCCTTCTGTGGTTGAAACTGCATTATTCATGTCAATATTTTTCCTGAGTGAGTTTCCCATCGATCTCAATAGATGGGAACACAAAACGTGAAGTTATCCCTCAGAGCCATCATCTGGAACTGTTAATTTACCAGTAAACTCCACTTCCATAATGGAAGCAAAGAATATTCCTTCTACTTCGTAGCTCTCTGTATGTCAGAGTGAGAAACACATTTATCAGTGGCTTTTCTGCAATTCCAGCTGAATTTTGACAGCAACATTTTTCCTGAATAACTCTAAGTTTTGTCTTGCCACCCTTGAGATAAAAGGGAAAATCACTCAGGAAAAATGTTGCCATCAAAAATGCAGTTTGAACTTCAGAATGACTCTGTAAAGTGCATTTTCTTTCTAACAGCAACTTCTACTTCTCACAAGATTTTCAGATCTCCAAGCTGTTTTTGGGAGTCAGAACTGCTGAACCTTCTCTATGGGTTGTTTTCCTTCCTGATAGAAGGCTGTGAGAAATATAATTCTCATTCTGCCTAGCAGAGTGATACAATCAAGAAAAATATTCATTGGCTCCACTGTAGAAGTGGAGTTTATTAGGAAACTAACTGAGCTCCAGATGCTTGCTCTGTGAAAAAACTGCATTTTTCGTCTTCCCGTCCATTGAGATCAATGGGAAAATCACTCAGGAAAAATGTTGCCTTCAAAAGTGCAGTTTGAACCACAGAAGGATTCTGCAGTGTGTTTGCTTTCTCACATCAATTTCTACTTATCACAAAGTTTATCATTCTCCAAGTTTATTTGGAGTTGGGACCCCTCAGCAATGTATGCGGCTTATTTATTACTATCCCAACACAAGCCTGTGTGAAATGTGCTTCTCACCCTGCCTTACAGAGAGCTACATACTAGAAGGAATAGTCTTTGACTCCACTACAGAAGTGGAGTTTACTGGGAAACTGAGAGAGTTCCAGCTGCTTTCTCTGAGGAATAACTGTACATTTTGTCTTCTGGTCCTTTTAGTTCAATGGGAAAATCACTCAGGAAAAATATTGCCATTAAAAGTGCAGCTTGAACCATAGAAGGACTCTGAAAAATGTGTTTTCTTTCTAACATCAATTAGTACTTACTCCAAAGTTTACAGATCTCTAAGCCCTTTTTGGAGGTCAGAACACCTGAGCACTTGTTTTGGCCTAATTACCTTCCCAATAAAAGCCCCTGGGAAATGTTTTTCTCACTCTGCCTCACAAAAATTACATCATAGAAGGAATACACTTTGCCTCCACTACAGAAATGGAGTATACTAGGAAACAAACAGAGTTCCAGATTCTATCTTGGAGGAGAACTGCATGTTTTGTCTTCCTATCCATTGAGATAAATGGGAAAATCACTGAAGTAGTATGTTGCCCTCAAAAGTGCACTTTATTTCACAGAATAGTCTGCAAAGTGATTTTGCTTTCTAACATCAACTTATACTTATCACAAGTATTACCTGTCTCCCAGCCCTTTTTGGGAGTCTGAACTGTTCAGCACTCTCTGTGGCCTTTTTACTTTCAGGATACAAGCAACTGAGAAACGTGATTCTCAATCTGCCATACAGAGAGCTACAAACTAGAAGGAATACTCTTTGATTTGATTACAAAAGTGGAGTTTGCTGGGAAAGTAACAGAGTACCACATGCTTCCTCTCAGGAATAACTGCACATCTGGTCTTACATCCTTGGAGGTCAATCGCAAAATTGCTCCAGAAAAGTTGCCATCAAAAGGGCAGTATAAATGACTTAAGGACTCTGCAAGGTGTATTTCATTTTGATCATGAACTTCTACTAATCATACGGTTTACAGATCTCCAAGCCCTTTACACCATTCAGAACTGCTCAGCACTCTGAAGCCTATTTATCTTCAGGATTCAAGCCTCTCAGAAATGTGCTTCGCTCTCTACCATAGAGAGATCTACAAACTAGAAGGACTACTCTTTGATTCTACTACCAAAGTGGAGTATACTGGGAAACTAACAGAGTTCGAGCTTCTTGCTAGGAGGAATAACTGCACATTTTTTTTCTTCCTGTCCATTGAGAACACTAGGAAAATCCCTCATGAAAATGTTGCCATCAAAAGTTCAGTATAAATCGCAGAAGGACTCTGCAAAATGCGTTTGTTTTCTAACATGAAGTTCTACTTATCACAAAGTTGACAGATCTAAAAGCACTTTTTTGGAGTTGGAAGTGCTCAGCACTCTCTCTGGCCTATTTGACTTCCTGATAGAAGCATGTGGGAAATGTGATTCTCACTATTCCTTTCAGAGAGCTACAACCTAGATGGAATACTCATTGGCTCCACTGAAGAAGTGGAGTTTACTGGGAAGCTAACAGAAATCCAGATGGTTGCTGTGAGGAATAACTGAACGTTTTGTCTTCCTGTCCATTGAGATCAATGGGAAAATTGCTCAGGAAAAATGTTGCCAGGAAAAGTGCAGTTTCAACTTAAGAAGGACTCTGCAAAGTGAGTTTGCTTTCTAACATGATCTTCTTCGTATCTCAAAGTTTACAGATCTCCAAGCCCTTTTTGGCAGTTGGAAATGATCAGAACTCTGCGGACTATTTACCTTCAGGATTCAAGCCTCTGAGAAATGTGCTTCTATCTCTGCCACACAGAGA